TTTCTCAATAGTTGAATTAGATTGGTTCGAATTCACCCTTGACAATGTCTTGTTTCAACAAAACGTGGAATGTATGGTTGTCAACAGCAACAGAACAAGAAAGGGTCATGTTTTTATTAACATAAAAGATTCTGTTTTCGAGAGCAATGGTGATGTTAATATAGCTACATCTAGGTCGTCCATTCTTTGGTTAAATTCTTACAACGACAATATCAATATGAAGATGCAGAATGTAAGTTTTACAAAAAATTCATTGCTTAAAAACGGAATGGTTTTTGTAAATAATGAATATGGAACGACAAATACTTCCCTCTTTGAAGTACTACTCGTTGAAAATGGATATCACAACATAGGTATCACGAACAGTTTACTTTTATTTAACCGGGTTTTCAATGTTGTCTTAAAGATAGAGTTTTGCCGTGTACACAGAAGTGCTTGTCGGTTTCTACAACTTGCCGGTCAAACTGTCCAGATTAATGTCTTAAACACCGAAGTGGAAGACTTCATCAACCCTTCATCCGAAGGTGGAGGAGTGTTTAACATTAATGCGAGCGGTAAATGCAACATCTCAATTACTAATTCTTCATTTCGCAATGGCAAAAATCCTACAAGTGGACGTGGTGGAGTTGTATCTGTTGTGTCGGCAAAGTTGACTACTATATTAATTCAAAATTCGACAATGCAGAATGTTTCTAATGAAAATGAGTTGGGTTATGGTTATGGTGGGGCGCTGTATATGACGTCACGATCACATGACAAATGTGATGTTTTGTTAAATATATTGAACTCGTCATTTTTGGACAATTTATCACGACAAGGAGGAGCAATTGCTATATTTTCAAGTGTTTCTCTCACTGTTATAAACAGCACATTTATGAGGAATAAAGCTCTGAATGATGGAGGATCGTTTTATCTCAAACTTCTAAATTATAAGTCAACACTCAAACTTCGAAATGTTACATTCATTGGAAACAGTGCTTGTTATGAAGGTGGGGCAATTTTTGTGGATCCTTCAAACCATTTCGCAATGTTTAGTTTTGTTGCTACAGAGGTTAATTTTGTCAGAAATAAAGCTGCCGTAGGCGGCGCTTTGAGTATGACATCATTTGCCTCAAATTTAAGAATAAGTTTAAATGAGTTGCGTTTTATTGAAAACACTGCAAACGTTTCAGGTAGTGCTGTAGTACTACAACAGCTACCAATGTTTCAAACGACTATACACGTTGTGCTACGTAATTGCGTTTTTAAAGGAAACGATGGGTATCATGGATCAATTTTCCTTCAAGGACAATTTAAGATTAGCTGCTACAATTCTACATTTTCCTCAAACACTGCAGATAATCTTGGTGGAGCAATTTCTCCCAAACTCGTCGACTCGATACTGAAAGTTTTCAACACGACATTTTTGAATAACTCCTGCCGGAACAGTGGTGGAGGAGCTATTGGTATTAATGACAACACCAATACTAAAATCATTATATCAAGTTCCATTTTTATCAACAATACTGCTTTTTACGGCACAGGGGGCGCTATTTCTGTCTCAACGAAAGCTGATGAAATAAATAAGACAATTTGCAAGAATGTCCAGAATCCACGTTCCTGGTTTTACATAAACAGGCTAGAGTTTCACAGAGTTCACTTTCAGGGAAACGTTGCAAAAAATGGAAATGCTTTGTACATTAAAAACGGTCTTGTGAGTTTGAGAGATTGCTTGATTATGGATAATTTTGGCTTCGCTTCCGGTAGTCAACTTGTCATTTACGGTTCCGCAAGCCTGAAAATATACAACTCCATTTTTAAAGAGACAATGGACAAAACTTCACTCAATGAAAAAGAATATCTTTTTTCACCTTTCTTCGTAATGTATGGCGGTGGTCCACTTGTAATCCGTAATTCAACAATTGATCAACGTATCAATACAAATCAACCTCTGATTGTCGTGTCCAAAACAGGACTACTGGAATTTGACAATTATTCAATGATCACATGCCCATTAGGATCTTCTCTGATAAAATCAGATACCTCTTATATGAACAATGGTTTAAACGGATGTGACAATCCCGTTACTGTTACCGTTCTTCGCTTACTCTGTCAGCAATGTAACACCAAGTTTTACTCACTTCAAATCGGTCAATCCAAAGGTCTGAATATAGACAAAGGTTTTGTGTGCACTCTATGTCCTTATGGAGCAGAATGCTTCCCCTCAATAAAATCCAAAAATAATTTCTGGGGTTACAAATCTGGCTCCCATCCACCGACACTAATGTTCACACGTTGTCCAGTTGATTATTGCAAATCACCAAAACCTGATAGTGATACATATAATGCATGCGTGGGAAAACGCACTGGGATGATGTGTGGGACATGTTCACGTGGTTACACAGAAACATTACTATCAACTCACTGCAAGTTAACCAAGGATTGTAAACGAGGCTGGTTTTGGATTGCATTTCTCGCTCTTGTTTGTCTTACTGCGTTTCTTTTAATTTTCAAGCCACCCGTGATAACATTTTTGGTAAAACAAGTGCTTTGGTTTAAGAAGTTATCGTGCCGACGGCCTGCAAATCACCAGTATAACACCATCCAGGCTTTGTCTTCTGAAGAAGTCAGACGTGAAAACGGACAATATTCACATTTTGTTGAAATAATCTTTTATTTCTACCAGATCTCACAACTGTTCCTGTCTTCTTTATCCTCAGAAGAGTATTCTGAAACCAAAGTCGACATTCCATCTTTACTTGGTTTCTTCAATTTCCAATTCAGTATTTCTGAAAACACATGTCCCTTCGAAGGATTGATGCCACACACAAAGAAGCTTTTTAAAATCGTGCCCATCCTCGCTACAATGACTGTTATTTACATTATATATGGTCTTCATTATCTCTGTTCTCGAGTACGTCGCACTCTCACTCCTTCCATTGCTCCTTATCTTGCAGCTAGTGTAAGAACTTTGTTTCTCAGTTACACAGTTTTGGCAACAGTGAGCATTCAGCTCATTCGATGTGTTTCTATCAATGGTGAGGTTCGATGGTTTTACAATGGAAATGTTGCATGTTATGAATGGTGGCAATATGCAGCATTCGTGTTTAATGCTATCTTTGTTATCCCTTTTATATTTATCCTTGCTTGGGCTGCTTTTAAACTTTATCACGAAGCAATAACACTCAGGCAACTTCTTATAGGCTTTATTCTGCCACTTCCGAGTTTACTTTTTTGGCTTTTCTCTAAGATCTTTTCGTCTGGAATAAACAACGTGGAGCCGAATGAGAAATTGAATGTACTAAAGAAAATGCTTTTAACGCCATTCCGAGAGCCAGGAGCTCTGTATTGGAAAAGTATCATGATCGCTCGCCGTTTTGTGCTAGTTCTTCTTTTTTGTGTTATCACCGAGGCATCTTACAAGTTATTCTGGATAACAATCACGTGTCTTCTAGCTCTTTTCCATCACCTCAGGGTCAAACCATTTAAACATAATTGGGCAAATAATGTTGAGTCAATCTCGTTGTTACTTTTGGTTGTTCTGGGTTTTATTAACCTGTACAAGTCAGTGTTAGTTGAAGCCGAGGTACTGGCACCAACTGATTCTTTCAAAGTGATACAATGGCTTGAAATTATTATCCTTGGACTTTTCCCCGCCTCAATTTGCCTTCTCTTCTCCTTTGCAATTATTTCTTTATTTGCTCGCTTTCTTCACGCGTGCTATGGATCATTGTTTGGATGTATGTTCAGACGTGACTCGAGTGGTCAAACTCAGCTACTCGATGTTTGTGAAAATGTTTACTACGAATGAAGAGGTTGGCTGAATGTGGGGTAAGTGTGTGTGTGGGTCAACCTTTGTCTTTTCATATCTCCACGCGCGACCAGAAGCGATTGATTGGCTGCAAAAACACGCAGTAACAAAGAACACGAACTAGGAATAAACGTTTAATTAATATTGTTAAAAACATAGATTCATATTTGTACAGTATGTAGTTGATATACAGTGTGCTGTAATATTCTACTTTAGATTTAGTATTGGATTGAAAAACTAATAACTATTTGACTGATAAAAATAGCCAACCGTTTGCATCATGACAAAGGTGGCAACAGCAATATTCTGGAGTTTATGGAAATAGGTAATGTCCTTACAATATTCCAAATTATGGAAATTAGGGATTGCCATGAATTTGGGTTTTTAGGAAAAAGAGATGGAAAATAGAAAATTTGAACAATTTTTAACAAAAATCAACATTTCAAAGAAAACAAAAATAACCCCAAAATGCAAGGAACCTACAACAGGGACGAACCCCAATAACAATGGCCTTTATTAACTATCCCCTCTCTGCTGGGGTTTTTACTAATTTTTATATAAAACGAAATCTTTGTGATAACTAAGGGACCACATATTATCAGTTTAAAGGACGACAGGTAGACATGCCTTTTAAAAATCCCTTTTAAGTAGATTAATTACCTAATTCCAATTATTTGGAATATTGGTGTTTGATTTGATTAAAGTTAAATATCAATATATTAACATATAATAGCTAATCCTGTATAAAAACTTGAAACTTGTATTAAAGATAAAGTAGTGATACTACAAAATATATTGGGTGCATTTTTGGGACGCCCTGTATAGCTAGGTTCGATACACATGCATGTTTGAGAATTTTTCCGTATATTTTTCAGGAGGTTACATTTCTACCAACGAAAGCTTGTTGATATTATTGGCACTACCCACACTGGCACAGACAGTTCATGTCGTTCTCATGGTACATTTTTTTAAAAAACTGTCTGTACCAGTGTTGGTAGTACCAATGTGAAAATGCTGTGCTGAGTGGTTATATTACTAAAAATAATAAACCAATTAGATGGATTTAATCATAACAAAGTGTAAACAAAATATGTAAATCGCTTTACAGAATATAATATAATTAAAAGTTCACATCAAGCACCATTTCACGTGCGCCTCCTCCCATCTCATCTACTGCATCCCTTGCAGCAGATGTGGCATGCTTTACATTGGGGAAACTGGAAGATGTTTAAGGACAAGGTTTGGTGAGCATCGGCATGCAGTTATTGGCAATGATGCTAACCAACCTGTTGCCAGACATTTTAATAATGGCAATCACAGTGTTTCAGATATGGTAATTCGAGCCCTCTGTCCCATTTCTGGAAGCAACGACAGCCGCAAACGACATGAAATGCGCCTCATATCCAAACTTGGCACTGTTCACCCTTCTGGTATTAATGAACGCTTTTCTTATGTTTAATACCATGCATCATAGACAATCCAGGAGACATGTCTTCTGGATTGTCTATGATGCCATATGTCCTTGCCTGTCTATAGCAGACATTGACAACATCTATTTATTACTTTTACTTTTACCTTATTCCCACTCGTGTTTTGTTTTGATTATTTTTTTGTAGTAATTGTCTTCACTTCCTGTTTATTTTTATATTTTTAATTGTATTATATTCTGTAATTCGATTTACATATTTTGTTTACACTTTGTTATGATTAAATCCATCTAATTGGTTTATTGTTTTGTCACGTGATGCTTTCATACTCTTAGTATAAAAGCCCGTGCATTTTTCCCCGATCCCTGCTACTAACTCTTGACGAAGGGCCTTCGCTCGAAACGTCGAGTTTCTGCTTATTTTTTAAGGTAGTGCATTTTTTTAGGTTATCATATGAGGGGAGAGCGGTATCAGTTTTATCGCTTTAAAAACATTTACGTCCTGACAGCGACAAACAATGATGTCACTCGTCCCCATTATGATAACATCCCCATTTATTAAGTATGGTTGTCATAATTATTAGAATATTAGTCATTGTCAGAATGTAACGATTATTAAAATAAATAAAATATTAAAGGGAAATGGCAATATATTTTTATTTTCTCATTTTAAAGAACTTTTGAAAGTATATATTAACTTCTTTTACCGTTTTTTCCTATCTTGCTTACTTTCAAATTATTACAAATATTTTGACCGAAAGGAATCCACCATCTTCAATTTTTGTAAATATGTATGTCATGTCACAACAGGGGTCACACAATATTTTTTATCTAGACAAACACTAATCATTTTGCACTCAAAACTATATACTCCTGCCCTTGGAAATATCAAGATCACTCAAAACCTTTAAAACATCTACCAGTCAATATTTGGTCAGGAACGAATACTTTAAAATGGGGATGTTATCATAATGGGGATGAGCGACCTCATTGTTTGTCGCTGTCCGGGACATAAATGTTCTTAAAATTATAATGTAAATGTTCTGTTGCAGGTAACTATGTGAAGCGTTCCTCTTTTGAGTTCCTAAGTTGACGGCAATTTTCGTCATTACCTTAGCAAATTAACTTCCTGTTACAAGTTCCTAACTTCCTGTTCTGTTCTGTGCGTTGCAATTGGCCAACAAAAATAATCCACCAATGAAAACGCTCAGAACAGAACAGGAAGTTAGGAAATTAAAACAGGAAGTTAGGAAAATTTGAAAGGAACTTTCTTTGCGTTGGAATATTGCAACGGCCGGCAGGAAAATTGCAAATTCCCTCAAGGGATTTGCGAAGAGTTTTTCAAATTTGCAAATCTAATTTTGAAAATTCCAAATGAGTTAGGAACTCAAAAGAGGAACGCTTCACGTAGTTTACCTGTAAATGTCTTAAATGTTCACTATATATAGATAAAAATATATTAAATTAATTAATTTAAAGTATTATTTACAAAAGTGTGATAATATATTCTTGTGAGGAATAAAAGTACATTGTTGGAGTACATTGCAGGAGATTGGATTATCTCTCTTGTCTGAAATGTGGATTGGTCATAATTTCAGACTACGTTTTCGGATTTAATCGATAGCTTTTTTGATAACTGAAATACATTCAGTATACCAGTGGTGTGGTCGTAAAATTTTAAAGGGGCGATGATCATCTAGGGTCAACACTTGTTTCCATCTACCAAACTGACATGACATCATTTTCGGAAGATGGAAGAAGTGTTAAATGGCTATGTAACTCACCCAAACCACCCCCACCTCCCTACTCTAAGTCCTAACCCTATAACCACAACCCTAACTCTAACCCTAACGCAATTAATAAAAAAAATCCAAAGAGAGACAACTTTAGAAATTGATCAAATGACGTAATTAACGTCAGTTTGGTAGATGGAAACAAGTGAAAACCATCATCTAGGCCGAAGGCCTTGAGGCATGATTCAACCAACAGAAATTTTTTTATTCTGTACTGAGCTCGAGGGTCACTGCATGAGACACGGTTTCTTACATTTGAAGTGATGTTATACACTTTATAGTTTTATCATTTTAAAACAAGGTTTACTTAAGTCAAGCTACAGTACCACTTGTCACTTGTGCGCCCTGAACATAAGGCAAAGCGTTTTGCCTTTTAATTTGTGATCATTCACGGTCACTCGCGCTGCATTTGTGGTCAACTTATGTGAACATTTATACAGATCAATAAAGATATAGTCTATTCTTAGAGTTAAATGATTGTCACGACATTGCCATTTACTGTAAACATTATACATGCAGAATGCCAAATCTTCATTTTTAAAAATTTTCGAAAAACTATACATTATTAAGGACGGAATTTGAATCATTTAATGCGCGCATGCAGTAGAGCAGTACAAACTGCAGTACTGATTTTGCGCAAAGCGCCGCGGAATTGTAAAAGCTCATTCGTCTAAAAGTTCTAAAGCTTTTTCGTCTAACAAATGTACATAATTTCCACTTTATAATTTACGTCTACAATACCCTTCAACTATACTTGAATTTAAACGAGTGACATGCCAACAAAATCTTGACATTCGTCCACATAAATGTCGTAGATAATTCATGCAAATGTTATTCGACGACACTTAATATCAAAGACAGCTGAGTGACTAAATAATTGCTTTATTGCAGATTTGAGCTGAAGCCATTATTTCCGGTGACTCTTCACTGTGCGAGAATAAGTAGCGCATTGATTTGTTCGTATTGGTATTTATATTGCTAAGAGTGAAGCCACTATAAAACGTTCTCCAAAATAAAAGGTATACATTAAATATGTTTCAGCATGCACGTTTAAAATACGTTTTTCTGTAATTTTAATCTAAATAGTCAAAAGACATGTGCTATATGTGAATCCAGGCCAAAATGATGAGTTCATATCTTTTATAATCTTACACTAATATACATCTTTTATAATTTCTTATAATCATATCTATTTCCTCATATCTCATGCGCTTTAACCTGCAGTTTTAATTTTTAGATCGTTACAATGTGTCTCACAGTATTCGTGATCCATGCCCTGCTTGTGTGGATAACACTGACATCATCTGCCAAAGCAACTGGTAAGAATGCATGTATATATCAGTACAATATTGTGAGAGTTAGATATAGTAACAATCGGCCATTTTCCAAGCAAAACACTAATATGTCCGTCTATACTGATTGCTCTTCACCGGACATTATGCCCGAACATTTGGGTAAATTAACTCGAATACTTGCCCCCTCATTCTCGCAAAACCGACACGGGAAGATGATTTTCGTGTCACTTTTCAATGCCGTGTAGTGACTAACTAATAATGGGGGAGGGAGAGGAGGCAGTCAGTATACTGTATGCTAGTAGTCTGTAACTGTCACTGAGTTTTCAGTTGTTCTGCGTTGATATTGTGTTGACCTGTATGCCGGCATACAGTTGTGGTTGTTGTAATACAAAGTACAACTCGTGAGTTTTATAAGCAATTAGTGTCCGATCGTGTCCGACCAACATGTGGGGTGGTCTCACTGAGATATTGTAACACCAAATTTTCAAGATTATATTGAACTCTGGCAGGGGCCGCGGAACCGGGGGCCAATGGGGGCATGTGCCCCTCCCCCCTCCACTTTTTTCAAAAGTGAAAAAAAGTGCCTATAAAAAAGTATTTCTTGAATGAACGTTGCCCTCTTTTGCTGGAAAGAAAGCGCCCTTTTTGTAGTAGTAAAGACTCTGTAAAGGCCATTTCCGACGTTATAAAGATTATAAAGGCTCCATATTTTCAAAACTTTTCGTTTGGCTCGTGAACGACATAAAATCGTTTGATTTTGGTCATATACGAAAGTGCCCCTTTTGGTCAATGCCCCTCCACTTTCGAAATGCTTCCGCGACCTCTGAACTCTGCTGGTGTATAGAGTGTAGAGTATGCTTGCTGTATTTCTGTATTGAAATATATCGCTATAACGTTTTCTCTCGTGACACCTTATGTATAGATTCAAAAAGCCTTAAATTAAACAATTCATCAAGAAGCCTTAAATGTTTTCAAATAGATCTCTTGCCCAGTTTTGAGTTCATCAACATAATTTGTTTGTAAATTAATACTACATAGATGATTCATTTTGTGATTCAAAAATACTGAATGGAATGACAGCCTACCATCAGCAGCTGATTCGTGGCTACCAAAAAATACTGAATATATGGGATGTTTGCTATCGCGCAAGTCGCGATGGATGGTCGGCAAACACTTTCCACACAAGATGCAATGACAAAGGACCTACAATCACCATTATTAAGGCTGGACGGTATATCTTCGGTGGCTATACCGATGCTTCTTGGGCTCGCCACGGTACGTAAGCACAGCATACTAGTTGAATTCTAAACTAGTTCGAGTATAAATATTTGCGACGTACAGTAAGAATACTGAGCACATCAGTATCACATCGGTCATCTTCAGTAGAAGCGGAAAATTGAATACTAGTTGAGTTCTAAACTTACCTAGTTCGAGTATAAATATTTGCAACGTACAGTAAAAATACTGATGAATATTTTCATACAGGAAAACTCAGGGGCGGCGCTAACCCTCTTCGAGTGGGGGGGGGGTGTGAGTGATCTTTTGCCGACTGTTGTTTGGTAATTTTGCCGAGTCATTAGCCTATCGTGAGGGTTCTGAAGGGGGGGGGGGGGGGTCCCAATCCCATTTTCCACCTGAAATTTTGGCAAAATCCCAGTCCCAGTTGGATTTTTGTTAGAAATCCCAGTCCGAGTTATTGAAATCCCAGTCAATAAAAAAACCCTTTATTTATCAGTAGAATAAACAGTTTTAAGACCTTTTAAGCCACCGTGTGTGCAAGTGGCGGACATCTTATGAAATTTTTTTTTGGGGGGGTGGCTCGTGCCGAAGGCACGGAAAATTTTAAATTTGAATTCCGGAAATGGCATTTGCATCATTCTGAGACACGCATAATCAGAAAACCCAGAATTCCGGGCGCCC